CTCTTTCTTTGTCCAATAATATTAAAGAAAATTACAAAATAACATATTTAAATAAACTAATATTCCAAACTATGCGCAAAATTGGTCTGCATTAAGTAATTATAAAGTTTGAATTTAAGAGCACAAATTTATTTCTAAAACCAATGTTCAGTTTTTAATTGTAACACTGACTATAACTACTCAAGAAATTGTTTTTATTATCAGTTAATTTTTATGTGAAGCTTAGCAAACCTTTATTTAATTCATTATAAATTATTTATTGCTATTGAACAGCGACAGCTAATTTTTAGATATTTATAAACACTTTTACAAAACGTCAAGAAAACTTTTAATGCAGCTGAAATAATAATATAAAAATGATTAAGAAAAGGATATTTTCCTGTATTGTTTAAGCAGTACATTTCAAATATTGAGTTTATTCAAATATTTTATTCTTTATCTCATTGAATTTTATTATTTGAAATATGCTTAACTAAATATGCATTGAATAAAACGTAAATTTTCTAAATATTCGTAGGTTAGAAATATCTAGACCTTCAAAAAACACTATAGAAAATAATTGTTACACCAATATACTTTAAAAGAAAGAGAACGGACATAGTATCATTCATAACAGTAAAGATGAAGCTTTCAAAATTACAATGAAAGCCACTAATAAAATCACTAAATTATAAAATCAGCCGCTTTAAAATCAAATATGCAAAAGCTTAATTATTACAATATAAAAACATTACATCATTTTATAAAATGATGGTTAATTTGTAAAAACAAACTTTTGTAGGGTATATGTACAAAATAAATTTAAAAAATTGGCTTTCTCCGTCTATTTCGTCAAGCTTTGAAAGCTTATAAATAAATTCCATTAAGCGCTGTATGAGCAAAAAGAACAAATTAACAAGTGTGGAATAGACTTCTTCGGGAAATTGAAGGGTAAAAATTAAAACATTACAAAACAGTGCGTGAGCAACAAATAAAGACTGTGTATGAAAAGTTATGAAATGCCCACCAATATTCAAGTAACTATCTTCAATCTTTTTCTTCTTTTCTAGCTCTACAGCCCTAGGTGAACATTGGCTTTCTCTGCAATAGAATTTCACGTCACTCTCTTAACAGATTCGTTTTCGCAAGTTTTACTTTCATTTTTTTTTTTCACTTCTTCCTCAGCTTTATCCAGCCATCTCAACTTTAGTCTTTCCTTATTAAAATTTTACTTTTCTGATTTTCTTAGGCATGCCTGATTCCTTCATTTATTTGTCACATCATATCTACTGTATTTTATTAGCTTTGATAAATCTCATATTTTTCCATTTAATTAATTTTTCTATTCCATGGTTGTATTTTATCTTCATGAGTTATTTTCATAAATGGTTTCATAACTATGAGGAAGCGCCTTGCCTTTTCTTTATTCCTACAGAGAATTCTTATTATTTGCAAATACTGCTATATTTCCATTTTAAATCTGTTTATTAAAACAGTCATGAATTTTATATATATTGTTTATTTCGTTAACAAGATAAATAAAGGTACTTATACCCCTAAAAATTTAATCATCAAGTTTCAGATCTTGCATTTGTCTTTTCTAACTTTGACATAATCATAAATTTCATTCTGATTTCATTAATCTCTAGACCTACTTCATTAGCTTTTCCTTTATGTTCTTTTATTAGTTGTATTAATATATTGTCTGTTCTTGCAATAATTACTATATGGTATTGGAAATGCACAGATTTGTGTTGACTAAGTGAATATATTTTCTCGTTGGTCGATTGATGTGATTGCTAAAGGCAAGACAATGTTGAACAGCACAGCTGATAAATAATTTTTCCAAACAAACTTTATCATTAATAGATGTGAAAAACCAGGACATTCAGCAAATGTCAAAAAACAGGTTTATAGAATCAGCTGCCTTATAAGATCAAATGTTCTCAGAATGAATGTGATTTTAATAAACACATTATTTACTCCAATACACAGGACACATTATTTAATTTCTTATAAATCAATAATTGGTTACTTAATAATCTACCAACAGTAACAATCATTTTATTTTAAACAAATTGTTGACAAATGAAAATAAATAATTTTTTTCTTCTTATTATTAATATTTTGTTATAATTTGTAATAAATTAATATTTTGTAATAGAATTATAGCTACTTCACCTCTATGATTTCGGTAATTAATAAAACTATAACAATTAAACTCCCTCTTCCATTTTATAACAATAAATATATAAATTAAAACTGTACTTTAAACCATAATAATTATTTGCGTCTAAGTATTTGCTTTGTAATACGTAAAGTTTAAAAATTCTCAATTCATATGTTGCCATAGCAAATAAAAAAAAGTTTTTCTTTATTCTATCGATAATTCTTCTATAGAATAAAGCAGATATATATGCCTTCTTTTTTTAATAAAAATATTAATAAAAAATCTTGAAAGTACATCAAATAAAAGGATATCAAATACATCCAAGAAAGTATAACTAAGATCAAGTACAGAATAAAGGTTTCATTAAAAAAAAACTTTAAAAAAGCCAATAGGAAGATGAAATTAAGCTCTCCTTTCTTTCATTTCTCCAAAATTTTTCATGTACAACATGTCAATTAACTAAATTAATTTTTGTTTATAGAAAATGCTTCTATCTCTTTCTCAAATAATTGAGAAATAATTCTCAATTATTTCTCAAATTTATATATATATGAGAAACAATTAAAAAATTTATTGTCTTTGAATAAACTAAAATTAATTAATAAACTAGCAAAAATTAAAGCTACACAGAAAAGCTAATTGTTTTGCAACAGATTTTTTCTTATTTTTGCAGATTGGATTTACTAATAACCAATTCAACATACATTCAATCATTAATCCTTCAAATGTAGGGAAGAGTTTGAAAAATATAAATGTCAAAGATATTTTCATAAAATTTAATATCCCTAATTCAATAAGTTTGTTTTTATAATTCTTTTTGAAATCGAGTAAAAATTATTTGAGTTTTTTACAGACTGTTCCACTAATTAAAAAAGTGTAATAATATTTGGTTAAATCCACTTAGTCAGGTATATAAAATACTGTTAGAGAGATTGTCACAATACAAAATTGCTAAAGTATATATTTTAAAAGCATAAAAAAAAATGCGAGAAATTAACTAGTCTTAATACCTAATTCACAGGATTTTATTGAAAATAATATGTAATCTATAAAATACTTCACAATATAGAACTAGAATTTAATGTTTGTGATATCCACACAACGGAGAAGAGATAGTGATACAACTATGATTAAAATCAGAAAAGTAAAAATTAAATATTTCGAACGAACAGAAAATAATAATCAAACCAATATGGTATGACACATGAGATTAAGTGAAATTCCTTATAAAAATAAACAATTAAAAAATATAAAGTTTGAATCTATCTGAAGACATTTCATTTGCTATTTATTATGATTAATTTCCCCCCCCCCCCCC